TGGTGTAAATGGCATGTGTGGGTAAGTTTTCAATTACCGTATTAGCCCGAATATAAGACGACCCCCCCTTTTTCCAGATGTACCTTTTGGAAAAAGGCTTTTTAAAAACCAAATCTTGTTTTTTCTCAGTAAAACACATTTTGTCTTCAATTATTTTCATATTGCATATTTTTCCTATTTTAATTTTTGTTTTGAAAGTATGGTAAAAACTGGTAAAATGTACCAACAATCACATTTAAAAAATATACACTTTTTGATATACCATTAAAAAAAAAAAACCGGTAGCCCATCTGAATTAGGACATTTAGGCTATCCATCTAATAGTAGCCTACCAAAATCTTATTAGAAGTTAAATCTTACTGTTACTATTATTGACATGTCAAAGTCTAGACCCTGAATATAAGACGACCGCGTTTTTTCAGATGTATTTCCAAGAAAAAAATATCGTCTTATATTCGGGACAATACGGTATATACAGTGCTCCCCTCCTAGCACTTAGCACGGACTGCTAACCTGTCCATAGACACATGGTCAATGATTTGTAATGGGCCTATAATGTACTGTATTATATGACTGAATCAGGCTTTAGTGGTACATTATTATCTGTCATGTGTAGAATGACCCAATTACTGAGCTGATTTAGCAGGATAGTCTACCGCAAAGATTTTCTTATGAAAACTCACTGGAGGCCTGTTAAAGGGATAGTTCACCCAAAAATGAAAATTTGATGTTTATCTGCTTACCCCCAGGCAGGGGCGTAGATTACGCGGGGGACGTGTCCCCCCCCACTTTTAATGTCACTTAAATTTGTCCCCCGCACCTTTTGGGGCAAGTGTGTTCGCATAGAGGTTTTCAAGAGCTGGTGTGAATAAATATAGATTTAAAAATAATAATAATAAAAATAATAATTAAACAAGGTTTCTTGAGCAGCAAATCAGCATATTATAATGATTTCTGAAGATCATGTGACACTGAAGGCTGGAGTAATGATGCTGAAAATTCAGCTTTGATCACAGGAATAATTTTAAAATGTATTCAAATAGAAAGCAGTTATTTTAAATAGTAAAAATATTTCACAACATTACTGCTTTTGCTGTACTTTGGATCAAATAAATGCAGGCTTGGTGAGCAGAAGAGACTTCTTTATAAAACATAAAAAATCTTACTGTTCAAAATATATATATATTTTATTTCCCTCACTTCTGAAATTATGGCTACGCCCCTGCCCCCGGGGCATCCAAGATGTAGGTGACTTTGTTTCTTCAGTAGAACACAAATGAAGATTTTTAACTCAAACCGTTGCAGTCTGTCAGTCTTATAATGGAAGTGAATGGGAATCACGGCTTTGAGAGTAAAAAAAAAAAAATACACAAACAAATTATATGACTGACAGACTGCAACGGTTTGAGTTAAAAATCTCAGTTTGTGTTCTACTGAAGAAACAAAGTCACCTACATCTTGGATGCCCTGGGGGTAAGCAGATAAACATCAAATTTTCATTTTTGGGTGAACTATCCCTTTAAGATTATGTCAAATGGTTTGCTTGACACATTATTTACTTTTAAAAAACATCCCTAAAATAATTCAACCGCATAATACTGTAAATCACAAGAAATAATATATTCATTAGCAAATTTTAAACTGAAAACATCTGCACAATTTTGCTGTGTTCTTTAATGAAGTTAATAAATACAAAATAATTAACCCATACACAAATGAAATATATATGAAATATACTGTATATACATTGTCATATGAAGTAAAAACATATATTAAAGCTATTAGAAATTTCATAATTAACATATATATAGCACATACAAATATGCATGTTTATGTTTATGTAATACATTTTTGGACATATATGTTATGTATATCAATCCTAAAACCTGTCAATACATGATGATGTTATATAAGTAAATATAAAAGATAGACATCTATGCATGTGTGGTGTTTTAATAAAGTCGCATGTATGTATAGTTGACATGTTATTGCTACATGTAATACCGTTTAAAAATCATAATATAGATATTATTAATATACAGTATGTACATATTTTACTATGGAGAGTTTATTTACATTATAAACTTACACAGAGAATATACGTACATTATATACGTACATTATGTGCAAATTATATATGGCCTTATAAGTAACATATATGGCAATATCACTCTTGATATAGTGCAATAAATGTCAGAAATTACATTTCTGCATGGGAACTCATGGAAACATTAAGGTCAGCGGCACAATTACTTCATAAATTATTAAACACTAATTAACACGTTTTATTTGAGTCTCTTCTGTTAATTAGCATTCCACACATCTACATCAGATCAGACAAATATATTCAGTCTCGAGGATGGTGACAGATATAAACACACTTTTTAAGGGCAGTTGAATGTTTTTGCTCCCTTGTTCCAAAGAAAGTCTTTCCTTTTTGGAAGCTTAATCTATAAAGACAGACATGACAGATACAATTACAGTGGCAGAAGAATTCTTGTTCTCGACAGGATGTTGATGTGATTATTACGAAGGATAGTTTTTTCATGGCTAAGAGTTTCTATACAGGCCTCAAGGCATCTATTATTTCACGTTTCACACATGACTGCAAACACTTGTTATTTCAGATCCATAGTGAGGTGGAGGCAATTGTTATGTACATTCATCCTTCTTTCAAATTCTTTAGCTTGGCAGTAGAAAAAGTGAAAGTGGTACAGTCACAAAAATGGTCAATGGCTCTACTGAATGGGATTAGAGGTATTGGCTTTTGTTCTTATGCCTTGTTAACTGGGGAAAGCCTTTTTTTCTTTTGTTTTCCAATTAAGTAGGTCTGCTCTGTCTTCTTTTTCCATCAAAAGCAGATTAACATGCATTCTACCACAGCTAACATGACAAATCTGGTCATATAGTAGGTACCCTATTTACTGTAAGTCAATCCCCTAGCTGTGTCATATGCTTTGAATGAAATGTGTATCATGTCTGTTCATATAATTCATATTCATTCAAGTTCCTTGAATGATTTTTTTTTTTTGTCTCTCTGTCCTATTTCCCTTCAAATGCTCTCTTTTTAAACAATAAATAAAGCATTGCCCACAAGGCTATCTGCTCCAACAACTGTATATACCATACAACCTCTCCAAGTTTTTGTTCCCTTAGTTTACAAATTGTATATACTGCATATACTGTAAGCCGTCTTCATCTAATGCAGACCCAGGATTGAGAGATTTGAAAGAAGTTGCATAGCCAAGGGCAAACACAATGAGAAAGTTTGTGTTTATCTAATCTTAAGATTCTCATTGCCTTCCAATCACATTACAAGCGTGGTGTGATGAAAAAGAGACAGAAAGTCAGAAAGAGATGCGTTTGTCTGTTTGGAGAAGCAGAAACCGCAAGTGATGTCAGTAAGAATGGTTCATTCAGAATTGTATGTCAGTAATTGCCACAGTTGAATGCCATTTATCAATGCAGTTGGAAATTCAAGGTGTTTTTTTAGGGGTTGAGATAAACCATAAATCTACAAGGTGGAAAAAATAGCTGGAAAGAGAAGATAAAAGTGTGTGATGCTACAGAAAATGCCGTTTTGGACCAGATATCTGTGATATCTGACTGCTTTTTGTCATCTCTAAATGAGTAGAGATTCGGATCAGATGGAAATGATTATTTCTCCTGCCTCAGAGCCAGTTGGGCCTCAGGATGTTCCAGAGTGAAGAATCCATTCTATTCTGCCTTTGAGATACTATAGCCATCACACTCAAACTCTATTCACTCTATGGGGTAAATGCAGTGGAATTACTTTTAGATAAGATACACCTGTGAACTTTTTTTACAAAGAGACTGTTAAGACTGACCGCACAAAAAATGTTCCAAAAACTATAGAGCCAAATGAGGGAATTTAAAAATATATATATTTTATATATGTGCTTGTTCTTGTGTCTCATGATTAAAGGCAGAGTAAGCGATTTCTGGTAGCCAATGTTGATATTTGAACAAGTGCTCCCTTTTTAGATGATATGTGATTTGTGGGTCAATGAAATAATGCTTGTATTTGTTTTATAGATCTATCCAACCTGAATTAAAATGCAATTAATTAATTCAAAAAGTACTAAAAATGACAAAAACACACTATTATGAAATTACCAAAACCTAAACTAAAATTAAAACAGAAAATATAAAGATAAAAATATTTAACAAAAACCATAATAGTATCTAAAAAATGATGCTAAAATAACACTGCTGTTCTGTGACGAGCATGTTTTTGATTTCTGAAACATATATTTTGATTTCTGATATTTTTTGGGAGAAGCATATATGAAAAAATATCACGGTGATACACTTTTCCTGATATCGTAATGAAGATTAAAAACTTGTTCTTAAAAAAATAGTTTGACGGTCTTTTATTTGTATTTCCTGCTTTTAGAAGCTATTATTTCTGCTTCACTGCTTATTAAAATTACATAAAACATAAAAATGTGCTGAAAAGCATCAAATGTACATTGTATTAAAATATATATTTTTACATAACTGTATTCCCTTATACAGTATCTTATGTCTTCTGTAGTATACAGTATATGCCGTATGACCTCGAAAGTTGAGAATATGCCTCTGCGTGAGATTGCTGGTTGTGAAAGAATCAATTCTGTCCTCTGTGAAAGAGTAACACTTTCAGATTAGTAACTTGCTTTGTACAGTGCAAGTATCTAGCCACTTATAACAGCATCAATCACAGCTATCACCAGCACAGCAGACAAACCAATAGCAGCTCAAGACTAAGTTAACTCACCAATGAGATTTGAATTTAAGTTTTCAGCAAGAATATATTTATTTTTGCTCAACCTCATCTATTTTTTAGTAAGTTTTCTCACATTCAGTTGATGATATCAGTGTCTCCTGCTGCACAGAAAGAATTGTTTTGGGGCACCTATTGTATTCAATACATATGAATGTATATTATGAATTTTATTGAATGGCAAAAAGTTAATTCTGCTGTTTTCTTTTTGCAGGTAAATATGTCTACCAACCCATGACCAGCGTATGCCAACTTCCCAGCACGCTGGTTCCAGTTGCCCCCTCAGGTCACACCCACACCATGAACCTGTCCATCTCCCTGGCTGAGCGCTTTCTCAGGACGGCCCCCAAATTCCAGGCTCCACCCTGCCCAGAGTCGCCCAAGTTCTGCGTCATCTCTGAGCTCTTTGTGGATGATTACATGGTCAAACGTATCAACGGTAAGATGTGTTATGTGCAAAGGCCGCCTCCCCCTTCACCAAATCCCAAACACCAACCCCAAATGCCGGCACCTCAACCTGCACCCCAACGTACCAACAAGCACACAAGGCAAGCAGGCCCAACTATTAAACACGACCAACTAAACGAGAAGATCTCAGGCCCTAAAATGGACCACTGCTCGTCTCCCTCCAGTTCAGAAGACTCTGGAATCAATGCATTGGGTCTGCACTACATGGAATCATGCGATGAGGACTCCTGCGTGGATGATGACGACGAGGAAGAAGAGGATGATGAGCTGAGTACCGATGGGGACTCCAGTCCCGGCAGCCTCTGGGACCAGGATGAGTGCACTTTACTGTCACCGTCCAAATCAATGGTTGAGATCATTGAGAAGATCGAGACTACAGTTTGACGTGCCTGTCAATTAATACCACAATTGGAATTCCTCAGTCTCGGAAACACTTCCCAACACTATCCTATATGCAGGTGCATGAGTTCAATGAGCCAGTGCAAGCACACGCTCCCTGTTATGGCAGTGCCATTCGAGGTGGTCCCAGAAGAGCCCTCGAGAGATGAGTCATGGCAACTTCTCTCCTCTACTTACTACAACTCTGATTTCCCCTATAGTCCCTTACGCATGGTGAGGCTAATGTAGGTTACACGCAAGTAAGTGTGCTGACAAACTCATATTGTGAGAACTTTGACCAAATGGGACTCGATACATGATAGAATATTTCATGGATGAACAGATGTAGGAAAGTCAAATTCAAAAATATGAGGCTATGTCTCTCCTTAGAGAGCTCAGACACAATCTGTCCAATGCATAGAAACGGAAGAGGGAATGGCTGATGCAATATGGAGAGATCTAGACTAAGACGGTCTGTGTGTGTTAGGAGGATAGAGAGTGCTACAAAGATAGAAGGAGAAAGAGTGAGGGAGAGAGAGAGTCTTTCAACGTCCTGTTAGCAGAATCAGTCAGAACAGTGGCTAAATCATGCATGAGCTCAGAGGACGGTAATGAAACTTTGCGATGAAAAGAGATTGAGGCTCGTGCCTGAGGGAATGCCCCTTTTCTCAAACTCTCCCACACGCTGAGACTCCCAAGAGGCACAGCCAAGGGTACATTACCAGATGTTTCTTATCTGGCACCAGACTGTGGAGCGAACCAATCCTCCCATCATCACAGTCCTTAAAGTTTGTGTCTTCTTTAGGAGTGGAAAACAACTTTTGACAATCAGTTAGGTTTACGATAAATTCTGCAGAAGAGTGATAAGGAATAAAATTGCATTGTTCGTCCCCCAAGAATCCCATTGTGATCTATGTTCCATTTTGTCAAGCCACTTTAAAAGTGTGTGGTGTATCATTGACAAAGCCAGAGGATTGCTTAGGTGCCATTCACGCAAGATGCGTTTTTGTGTCCTGTTTTTTAATTGTTGGTCTACATAATTGTGCTGGACAGATGCTATTGTTCCTTGATGTTTTTCTCACATCTGCATTCTTAAGAGTTCACCCAAGCACTACGATTTTGTCATAATTTACTCACTGTCATGTTATCACAAACCTGTATGACTTTCTTCTGTGAAAGAATATGACAAATGTTATTTGTATGTGTTGTAAATGGAATTTGGAAGATGCTTTTTGCAAAACAACTTACATTGGATTCAAGGTATACATGGTATCAGGTAAACATTTTATCAAACCCATAATCTTTACATTGCTGGTAGCATGTCTGAGCTACAAGAATGCTATAAACCAGCTTTCAGGTTATTTCTGCCGCCCCTGTCTAGGTGTATTTAACGCAAGAACGCATCCTGTGTGAAGGGCCCCTTAGTGTCACTTTGAGATCTTTGAGATCTTTGAGATCTTCACTGGCTCCAACAGTTTCAGGTTTTCTAAGAGTTTAAGAACATTTGGCCCATTCAGACTTGCCAGAGCATCTCTGGGTCTCATTTTTCCATTGCATTCACACTTATTATATTAAAGGGGTCATATGATGCGATTTCAAGTTTTCCTTTCTCTTTGGAGTGTTACAAGCTGTTCGTGAATAGATAAGATCCATAAAGTTGCAAAGACTAAAGTCTCAAACCCAAAGAGCTGTAGTATTGTTATCGCCGCCGCCATGTCTTGAGGACGCTGTGTGTATCGTTGCGAAAGCGAAACTACTTTGTTTGGCCTTCCAAAAGAGGACACAACTAGAAATCAGTGGTTAAGTTGTATTTACAACACTGTTCCAGAACAGTTCAAACCAAATATTCAGATGTGTGCAGCACATTTTACGGAGGACGAGGACTGTTTCCTGATCCTGGGAGAGTAGCCTACAATGCCGGTGTTCTGACAAATAATGCTGACTCACAGCCTGTAAGTACGTTTTCATATTTAAAGGATTTGCAACTGACGATTCAAACGACAGTTTTGAGCAGTGTTGAGTAGCGCTTGTTGTTTGTCGTTTCTCCAATCACAAATGCAGACATGGTTTTATGTTTACGCGGCGCGATGCAACGCAACGTGTAAAAAGACAGAATAAGTAATTATAATCAGTAATTATGTCCCCACTGGATGCAACAAATGCCTCGTTTATAATGGGTTTTATTGGTTTTGTCTCATCGCTCCGGGACACGGCATCACAATATGGTAAGGGGCGTAACATTTCCGTCACACGTTTGAGGTATTCGGCCAATCACAACGCACTGGATAGCTGGCCAATCAGAGCACACTTTCAGAAAGTTACAGAAAGGCAGGGCATAGAGGAGAAACAATAATGTACAGTGTGTGGAAAATAATGTTTTTTTTTACCTTAAACCGCATAAACACATTTCATTACACCAAATACACAAAATAATGTCATATGACCCCTTTAAGACCACAACTCCGTTACCAAATACCCAAGCACATATAGACTGGCCCAAAATGTAAAAAACAACCAGCATGTCAAGTGCTTCTTTGCCTTGGTTTAAGCTCATGAAACCATTGCTATCACTGCTGAGGTGGAATACAGTCCTAAAAGAAATATCAAAGTCACACAGGGAATTCACACATAAATGTCTTGCTCTACATTTTTAAAGGGATTACAACTTAACCAAAAAATTGAAAGTTATGACAATAAATTTGCTAATTAGGGGACTACGAGCTGAGACTGCCAAGGATGTACTGACTGGATGAAAACCAAGTGAACCCTTTTAATGATCCAACCTCAACCTTATCCAATATCAACCTTTATTTCAAGTATTGGCTCAAAGATGTTATACTTGCTTGCTGTTTGCCAAACCCATGTAATATATAAGCACATATGTAACTTTACTGCCTGAACAAAAATGTTCATTTTGAAGTTCCTCTGATCACGAAAGGACCATGATCCACAGATGGTGCAGGTGTGATTCTCTCCTTGTTACTGAATGAATGAATATAACTATCCCTGTCTCTGCAGTTTTCATATCAGGGACTGATACTGTAGCTACAAATATATACTGTAGACAAAATATTTGTTTATCAAATATTAAAATATACCCTTTTTTCTTATATCAACTATTGTTAACTCACCTCTTATTTTTTCTTATAAAGAAATTTAGAAAATAAGAAATGTTTCTGTCTTTCATTCTGAAAATATGCTTGTGCGTCTTGGTTGATTCCAAACTTAAGTGTTACGCATAGGTGTTAATATAATTTCACAGAAACATTATTGTATGGCTCTTCAGCTGTTAAAGGCTAACTGCATTGACCGTTTAATCCTAGATAATCCTAGAGAACTTCCAGTTCAATTTACCACCTTCATTATCAGAAGAGAAGATATTTTGGAATCATAGAGGAGCCGTTAGCAGAGAAACCCGTTTGAAGCCATCGAAGCAGCGAGACCTTATGCCTTCTTGGAAAACAGATGGGTACTAACAAGAAGAGACTCCATGGAATACAAGCCTGAACCAATGAAATAACAGACCACAAAACTTCCCCATGTTGCTGAGCACACTTGCATCTCTCTTAAAGCTAATTCAAACACATCCAGAACAACCTATATCAATGCTTCTAATAACTGCATTTTTGGTTTAGGGGTATGATTGAGCCATTAAAGGAATAGTTCACCCAAAAAAGAAAATTTACAGAAAATGTTCTCACCTTCAGGCCATCCAAGATGCGTTTCTTCATCTGAACAGATGTGGAAAAATTTAGCATTATATTACTTGCTCACCAGTGGATCCGCTGCAGTGAATGGGTGCCATTAGAAGATGCGGATACTTTTATCATATATCCGATATCAGCAGATGTGGCATTAATTGACAGGGAGGAAAGACGGCACAGAAAGCTGCTCGGACAAAGTTACCTGCTAGGCCACAGTTCATTTGCAATTGAGAGTGGTGGGTGGAATGGAGAGTCGGCACAATCCTTTAAATGAGCACTAGTGATGTGAAATGCCTGTCACCACAGCTCATTCACTGTGAATAAAAATAAAAATGTGATACTACAGATTTAAACAAATACATTTTTAAAGAAATTATTTGTAATTATAAGAAATAAACTCCGGTGAAAATAGCCTTCTATAATTTCTTGTACTGCATGTTCATTTGAAGCAAACATTTGTATTGTATTCCCATTCTTTACAACATACTGTACACATTTTCAGTTCCAGTTTTTGGGGGGACGGCTGATGCCCTGGGACACAGTGGGACCACAGTCCATCCTTGGACATGGATCATTCCAATTATACTCTCTAAAGTGCATTTGAAATATAGACAACTCTGTTTCCATCATGATAATTATAAATTGAGTGTCGACATACACAATCATTCAAAAGTCTAGGGTTGGTAAGATTT